AAGTGTGGTCTTACTTTCCTCATAAGTAGTGAGATGACCAGGGTGTATGATTATGGATTTGCTGACTGCACTGGTCCAGCTACTCCTCCCACGTCTTGAGTGTATGTCACCTGGCACTGTGTGCAAAGATTTGAATGTACTGCGTCCTGAATTTGTTCTTTTGGATTGTCTCAGCAAAATGAAGTCTGCCTCTGAACTCTGAGTGACAGTGGTGTAACAATACATACTAGTTTTGGCCCTAAAGTCAAGGTGTGTTTCAAGCAAGTATTTCTTCTCCACAGCAAGGAAAGCATGCTTCAGAACTGATTACAGGTAAGCAGTTCACAAGGATTAAGTGTGGTATTGCCCTCCCCTCCAAGCACCATGATATCTCTGCAGCAGCTGGTGGGGGAGGGGGGATTAAGTTGCTCATCACTCTGAAGGTTCTGCCACTGCTGTGTTCAGACCAGGGTTGCTAACTGGAAAGTGCATTCCAAGCTTCAAAATGACTTGTTCTTGAGTGGTCTTAAAAAATAGGTCATGAAAGAGAAAAGCCTGTGTGTGTTCCATCACTGTGTACAACAGAGAATAAGCTGGAACACCACTGAAGCACACTTAGGAGGAGACACGAAGAGTGTTTTAGGAGCATTGAGTTCATGCATATGATACCTGGGAAAAAGGCTTTGGATAATTTTAAGTCAGTTCATTGCAAACTGTATTTTGCTGCATTTGTAAAACAAAATCTACTTTAAAATTCTTCTAATATTCGTGCACCCAAGCTAAGTAAATGATGGCATATCCATATATTTATAATAATCTTATTTGTTAAACAGCATTTTTCTGATTTTTTTTTTTAAACTATGTTGGCTGGAGAGTATTTGAAGATGTATCTAGCAAAGTAAATCATGTTACCATTGTTAGTTTTTGATACATTCCCATACCTACTTAAAGCTTTAAGGTATTATATATTTAAGAGTATAGCTCCAGTATGTCGTCTCTACTATATAAAATCATGCAGCTAACACACCACAGTCTTGATGTAGAACATTCTCATCAACCTAAAATTGTCTTTGTTGCTTTTGCAGGCAAAATTTCCCTTCTCCTGTGACGCCCGGTGATCAGCATTTCATCAATTTTGCCTTTTCTAGGATTTTTAGAAATGGATTCACAATGTCTACATGACTTAATATAAAGCATTGAGATAACCTATATACTTACTGTTCATATTATTGATTTTTATTGTTTAGTATTCTCTTTGTCATTGTATCCATTTATGGCTTGATGGACATTTCACGTATGTTCAGCATTTTTGCTGTTAATAAATAAAGCTTCTCTAAATGTGTAGCCAGTTGTCATATGGTTCCATGTTTTCACTTTCTGTGTAAATATCCTGAATTAAGATCATTCCATCAGATGGTTAAGTATTTTTTTAAGATTTTTATTTTGATTCATGTGTCTATGTTCCTATATAAGTTTATATGCATCCTATGTGTGCTGGTATCTGTGGAGGCCAAAAGAGGGCATTGCATCCTCTGGAGCTGAAATTGCCAGCATTGTGAGCTGCCATGTGGGTGCTGGGCACTAACTCCAGTCTTCTGACTCAGATGACTGGGTCATCTCCAGCCACCTGGCACAGTGTGTCTTTAATTAGAGACTACCAAACTTTCCTCAAGTGACTATATCACTTTTGCTTGTGGTGTCTTGTTAGTACTTGATATTTTCCATTGGTTTTTGATGTGATTTTTAACAGTGTTTTATTTCATTTCTGCTTCAGTGATTAGCAATGAGCATCTTTGCACGTGCTCAGTTGCTTCTTTGCCTAGTTGTCTTATACATAAAGTGTTTACATTCTTCACCTCATGTCAAAGGAGGGGTTCTAAAGTATTCCTGTCTAGGGAGATTAGTCACTTTAGATAGGTATGCTGTTAGTGCTTGTTTCTTGACCTTGGAAATGGTCCAATGTGCCCAAAGAACGTGGCACCAACCATGAGGGTCGGGCATGAGAACAAAATGAGTGTTGATAATACTGTGAGAGCGAGCGCTTTGGAAGCATTACACAAGCCGTCTGCATTGTGAATGGAGCCCAGCCAGTCCTGCTGAGGGAGGGGGCATCTTTTACATTGTGACCTTCTCGGTCCTAAATTTGACTCATTTCAGGAATTTTGAAGTTAGTTTCCAGATAGAATGAGTGACATATTTCTGAAAACAAGGGGCACACAGATTGGCGAGTTATTTCCTAGAGCCTTAGTGCAGTAGAGTTTTGGATTTGTTCTAGGCATTCCTCCTGTATTGCTGACTCTTGAACAGCATGGGTATAAAGAATTTGATGAATTCACCAACACATCTTGGAGGGCCAGGACATCAGGAAGATTTGATTTGAAAAGGTTGCACATTTTATGTCCTAGAACTATTGAAAAATTTATAAAAGGTATCTCAGTGTATAAAATAGATGTGCATAGTTATCAAAATATGTACCAATTGATTATAAAAGTTAAAAATTTACCAAAACTTAGATTAAAATTTCAGAGTATAGCGAATCTAAAACTAGAAGGGTCAACGCTAATAGAAGATGCTACACTACAGCAACCTTGTAGTCACTTCTGGTTGCGCTTGCTTCCAGAACTCGTGGACCACTAGTGGTCCAGGACTGGGGACACTAAAACTTACACACTTCAACTGGAGAGGCTGTACCATGGTGGTTACTTACTTAGGGTCACTACTGCTGCGGTGAAACACCAAAAGCAAGTTGCGGAGGAAAGGGTTTATTTTGCTTGTGATTCCACATTGTAGTCTATCATTGAGGGAAGTCAGAACAGGAACTCAAGGATCCTGGAGGCAAGAGCTGAAGCAGAGGCCATGGAGGGGTGCTGTTTACTGACTTGCTCAACCTGCTTCTAGAACTCAGGACCACCAGCCCAGGGGTGCAACCACCCACAATGGGACTGGGCCCTCCCCTCCCCCATGAATCACTAATTAAGAAAATGCCTTACAGCTGGATCTCACAGCATTTTCTCAACTGAGGGTTCCTTCTTTCAGGTGACCCTAGCTTGTGTCAAGTTGACACAACTATCTAGCACAGTGGTATTCAAGGGTCAACTATATTTCCATATTTCTTTGCTTATGCTTTGCCGTAGCTTCCAGTCAGACTTAAAAAAAAAAGATCAGTTGTTCGTAGAAGGCAATTATTTTCCTTTGACTTTAAGATAAAAATGGATGGTGTCTAGCTTATCCACTTACTCACTGAGCCTTTGCGATTGTGAAAGCAGCTGCTATAACAGTTATACACGTTTTTGTGTGAATGGACATGTTTTCAACTCACTTGGATAAAACCCAAAGCCTGTAATTGTGGTAGGGATGTTTCCTTCTGTCAGAAACTGCCAAAAGGCTCTCCCAGGAGGTTACTGCATTTCCACCAGCAGTAAGAGTTCCTGTTTTTGTTTCCTCATCTTTGTTAGGGGTTATTAGAGTCTTACCTTGAACTTGGAGAGATCCACTTCCGTCTGCTTCTCCAGTACTGAGGTTGGGGTTATAGTTTTCCACAACCATGCTGGTCCTCTTTTTGGCTGTTTCAGTGTCTGACAAGATTAGTCTGCAGCTCCGACTCAAGCTGATGTTCTATGTGAGGTCCGGTGATATCCAGATCTGTGCCATTAAAGTTGAGATTGTTTCTGATCTGTGAGTTAAAATGTAGGAGTTCCTTGTACATTTCAGATGAATACCCCCATTATATTTTTATTACAATCATTCTTCTCTTCCCAAAACCTGCTTTCCCTTCGCACCCAACTTTAAATACTTTCACAAAACAAACAAAACACCAGTATAACAATATCCCCAAAATCAAGATAACAGAATCCCCCCCCCCAAAAAAAAAAATACCCGAAAAACTCACCAAACTGCAATAAACACAAAAACCTGTGGAGCCCATTATACATTGGTCAATTACTGAACAACCTGTTCTGGTGTGGTTGATATACACAAAGTTGTTGATACACACAAAGTGGAGAAAACTGATCTTCCCTGTCCCAGCAGGTATGACAGTTCCGTTTTTAACCTTTACCCTAGTGGCTATGTTTCCAGGCATTCATTCGTTTTTTTTTTTTTTTTCTTAGAAAAATATAACAAAATGAAATGTAAAAACTATCACAACAAAGTTGGGCAAGACAAACCAATTGAGAGAGCATAGGAGAAGGCACAAGAATCAGAGACCCAATTGTTCACACTCGGGAATTGCACCAAAACACTCAACTGGAAGTTTACAGATGCAGAGGACCTGGTGCATGCTGCTGCAGTCCTGGGTTCCTTAAGAGCTACTCATGTTGACTTAAGAGGGGCTTGTGTTCCTTATATCTTCGATCCCCTCTGGCTCTTGAGACACTTGCTGCCTTCTCTTCCCTGGGGTTCCCTGAACTGTGGGAGAGAAAAGGGAGGATTTGGTGGAGACGTCCCATTTAGGGCTGAGTGTCCCAGGGTCTCTCTCTCTGTAATGTCTGGGTGTGGGTCTCTTATTTGTTCCCATCTGTTGCAGGAAGAAGCTTCTATGATGATGACTGAACATGGCACTGAATAGCAGAATATCATTAGGAGGCATTTCCTTTTTCAGTGATAACTTGGCAAGCTTCATCATGGAAGATTTTTTACCCAGTTTTCTTTCGTGGATTATCCTTTTGATGTCTTTATCACCCAAACTCTACACAGATGCCAAGTGAGTATTGCTTCAAGTCATTCATTTTGTGGCACTCTTATGCAGTAATGGGAAACTAACATAGAAGGATTTGGATTTTTTTTCTTCCACCATGATTTGCTAGATGATAAATTTTATAAGCACAAAGACAGTAGAACCAATTCTCCAAAGCACCTGTTTCCTAGGTTATCCGATGCCAGCGCATACCCAAGAGACAAGGTGAATCTTCTGTAAGGCTAGCTGTAGATACTATCTCAGTACAGCCTTGATTTAACCACACATACCCCAAACCATACACTTCACCCCACAAATAAATTAAATCACTCCAGCACAGAACGAAAAATATATATAAAATCTTTATCAATTCACAAGCTTTGTTGAAAGTGTACAACAAGTTTCAATTTATTGGAACAATAGTAACATTTCTGTACTGTAGGCATGAAGTCACTGTACAATTCAAAGAAGGCATTGAAAAAAGAAAGGTTGAAAGAAAAGCGCTGTGTTAAACACAATCACAGTTGAGATGGAACACTGTGACTGTTAAATACCGGCTACACTGGGACACTTTAATAACAGGGTTCAGCCGCTTGACTTAAAGGATATGCACATTTCCACACTGTTTAACACTTATAAATTAATTCACAGGATCCGTAGTGTTACTTTATAGCTCCAAATCAGTATTAGCAAAAATAATACAAAATGATTCTTGTTGCAAGCAACACCTTCTGTCCTAAGTAAAACATACCATTAGAATAAACTGTAATTTGTTAGCATTTCTTCTAAAAAGTTTGTGACATTACTGATGAGAGAGATTTCCTCTTTTATACTCTTAGGACATCTTTTGCTGGGGGACCACTGCTATTGCTCCAATCACATACTTACGTACATTTCAAAAAACTCACGGCCTGGAATGTCTTGCAAGGAATACATGTAGAGGCAAAAGGAAAGCAACTCCAAGGTGAGAAAGCCCCTGGGACCTCTCCTCTGGCTTACTGCTGGGTTTGGGTTGCGAGGTATGAGCCAAGCACACCTACACACGGGCCTTCTGGAGCCTTATGGTTTGGTGCTGTTTAGACAGGAACATGGCCACAGGACAAATATCTGAGCCCTCCATAATGTATATTTAGATTTTATTTAGTGAACAGAATAGAGAGGGGGTATAGCTACCAATGAAAATAATTTTTTTCTATCTTTCGAAACTTCATTACTGTTCAATGAACTCTACTATTCTACCTCGTCTCTTTGTACTAGTGGAAAAATAATGTCCTATAGGAACTCACAGCTAAGAGAGACTCCAAACCCAGCCGTCAGGTATTGAGTGCAATAAATTCCTGTTAAGGTCAAAGTATTTCAAGTGAGTACCTTGTTGGCATCTTGATAGTGTCTAAACTTAACTTTCTCTTCCTTAATGTGTGTTCCAGCCACTCTGGACTTGAAAACAAGTAGAACAGCCAGGAACCTTGTGCTGCTGAAGGAAAAGCAGCCTCAGGTCAGCTCTTTAGCAGGTGGCCCCTAATATCCTGTCTTCCGATGTTCTCGCAGATGGGAACCGTAAAGCCCGGGTCATTTTAGTAGCTTAGGTTTATTAAGCTAAAGTTAGCCAAGACCAATACTGAATGAGGTGGATTTTTACAAATCCTCACTGGGCAACTCCTCACTTTCCTTCTAACGAGGAAAATGATAGCAAAGTTCAAGTGTCGATTTCCCTTTCGTAGAAAGAGGTTTACAGTTTACAGAACATGACAGCTCACCTGCTGAACTCTTATCAGTCCCTTTCAGAATTAACAGCATTAGGCTAAGACACCAAAAGTATTTACAAAATGAACAGTCCTTCCAGACAAACTGGCTGATGCTGTGGGACCGTACAAAGGAGAAACTTAAGGAGGAGAGCAATGCTCTAAGTGAAACAACAGAGAAGCCAAAATACAGCATCTTACATAACAGCGCAAGTGGCTGGAGCCAAGGACTATTGCTATCCCTGAAGCCAACTCTTCAGTGGACCCAGAGAGGTTTTCAGGAGTGTCATCATGCAAAAACAGCTTTGTGGACCAACTGCATCTCGCAGCTGTTCTTCCGAGAGTACAGAACAACTTGGCAAGCTTACAGGCACGTGTTTCCGTCCTTTTAGTTAAGCGGTGATAAGGGAAAACTAGCCCCTATTCCGCTGGCCATCTGAGAGGTTACACGTTGGTTTCCAGTCCTAACAAACGCCCCATCCTCTCCACATTCTTATCAATAGTCGCTTGGCACGTTATCTCCTTTGCACATTCCATCGGAAACCAGCCCCTCTCTCCGTCTCGAAGTCGTTCCCCTTCATACCAGCCTGCAAGGAAAACCAGGTGGCATCAGGCAAGACAGGTCTGGAGAGATCTTACTGTGCCAGCTCACTCTGAATAAGAGATGCCCCATTCAGAGGTGGCTTTCTTCTGTGGGTTGGGTGACCATGGATAATAGGCAAGAAGAAACTTCAGTGCAATAGATTCCCGTTTAGGTCAAAACAGTTGAGGTGAAACAGGACAAGGTTTCAAGAGAATGAGTGATATACCAAAGACTGGACATGAGCAAAAAACTCGGGAGGAGGCTAAGAGAGCGTGAACTGACTAGGGTTCCAAAGGGAACCCTTTGGGTATGAGAGCAGGACACCCTTTCTTTTTTAAGTAAGGGAGCAGGGCAGAAAAGCCTTTGGAGTTGGGAACTACAGGACTACAGGACTGGGAAGAAAAGGAAACTTCATAGTGACTGCCTCGTGTTTCAAAAGCAAACAGAGAAAACAGAAGATGACCAAGAGGGGGCAAGGGAAGGGTTTTCAAATGATTACATCTAAGCACTCATCGGGGCTCTGAAAAGCTTGTGGTTTGGGGCATGGATTATCAGAAACAGGGATTAAGGATTGGACAGAGGAGCTGGAGTCAGGAACTGGAATACAAGTACTGACAACAAAATTAAATTCCGTGCACCCGAGGCTCTGCGAGTGCCTGTCTCCTCCGTCCCTATGAGAAGAACCCTACTCACCATCACCAACACGCTGATAAATGAGGACCACGTCGGCCACCTGTAGGGAGAGCTCGTCCGGCTGTTTGGCAGTAAAAGATCTAATGATTTCCACCTGAGTCAGTGCTGTGGAGGAAAGGGAACACACTGACCTTGCTGAGGAACAAAACTCTTACAAAGCAGCCGCATGCATTCACTCACTCGGCTCTGTAGTTCCAGAGCTGGCACTGGCCGACAGAACCAGGCTTCTACGGGGAAGTGACTTTAAGAAGCCTCATGCTTGTTTATGACCTTTAGAATTTTAAAACTGGGGTTCAAGAGGGGTCTTATGATGCATGAATACGCTGAGGATAGCCTTGATCAGGAGCCATTCATGGTATTATACACTGGAACTGCCAATCACCATCGTACACTGGGGAAACTGAGGCAAGAGAGTACCCAGGTCTCTCTCCACAGTATCCTCATCCGACCAGCAACTAGGCATAAAGGCTGTGAAAAAGCTTAGAAAAATGAGGGCTCCAACCAAAAGGTTGCCAGACTAATTTGGAGTACCCCAAAGTGCTGATTTGCACAAACACAACTTCAGCAAAACTGACTGGCATGGCTTCATTTTTTTAATATAAAATTTAATGTCGCACCAAACACTTTTGCTCTGACTCTAAAAGCTGTGACCATTGTCCCTAGAAACCACCTTTGTAACCCCCATTCTTCAGTCCTCCAACTTCAGGCAGAGCATCACAATGAAAGAATAAGAATGAGGGGACACCAGAACAATGAAGCACATTTTCTTGACATTGCCATTTACACTAAAAAAATGTAATTTTCTTTAGATCAAAAACTTGTAACTAGACACCCTGCAATTCCAGCGTTTGGGAAGCTGAGGCAAAAGCTTGAGTTCAAAGCCAGTCTGGGCTAGTGTGAAAGCAGGCCAGGCAGAGCTACAGAGAAAATCTTTTTAATAATAATAATAATAATAATAATAATAATAATAATAATAATAATAATAATAATAATACACACCACCACATTCTTCTGTGTGTATTCAAACCCATTAATAACAGCTAAGTGTAAGCACTGCACAATTCAAGCAGGGTTTCACCCTCTGTAATTTACCGTAGCCCTCATAATAACCCATGGTGAACCCCATGCCTCTGACTCACGGATGGAGAAACAGATTCATGAAGGCAATGGAGTGCTTTTTCATGTTTATCTAACAAATGCACCTGCGAGGAACCTTGCAAAGCAGGTAGAGATGGAGGTAGTGTAGTAACCATGCTAGCCAGCAGGGGGCAGAGCCCCTCCATATTCCAGAGCAGCTACCTCTCCTGGAAACTTACTGGTTCGATCTGGTGGCTGCTTCCCACTGCTGTGTCCCAGGGCTGTGATCCAGCGAGCTCGCTCACTCCTAAACACAGAGAGCAGGTGCAATTCAGATTCGTCCCTTAGACACCCAAGTAGTATATCCCAGTTAGCCCGTGTAAATCAATTTCCAAAACATAAAGGATCCCGGAGGGTAGGGGACTGACCCTTGAGACAGGGGAAGGAGTAAGTTTTAAAAAGGCAAGCAAACATAAATCTGGCTCGCTATTGGCTAAATGGAACTTTTCATACGGCAGTAGGACATTCCCGCCAGCACATGAAAGCGCGGATACTCAGCACACACCTGGTCTGAAGTTTAACAGTTCAAAGATCAATTTCACCTGTACGCGAGCCTGTGACGCAGGATCCTTCCCCTCCCCCACACACGGTCATTCTGGTAAACAAGACAGGGAATCTGACATAGTTACAGTTATCTCTAACACAGGCACCTTTGGTCAGTGTGAGCTTTACTGAAAGACAAATTCTGACATGTTGAAACTATTCCCAAGTGCTTTAAAATGTTTTCATGAGTATAATTAGAATGAAAAATAGCCCAACTATTTTAATATCATGCTAAGGTATAGCCGTATGAAACGAAGTTAACCATGACTACCACATCCCAAGTCTCGGGTAAGTAAGCACTGCTCCATTACAGTCACTCTTGTGTCTTTAGAAACCAGCATTAGCGCTGCAATTCATTAAATCACTCTACACAGATTTCCATTCTCTTAAGCACTCACTAAATGCATGTATGTCAGATATATGTACTCAGCATCCATTACTTCATATAATCCTTCCAAAACGCCACCTGTGGGATGCGACTAGCATTTCTGAGGTTAGTAGTTTAAGCTAATCACTGTGCCAATGTGCCTTCTGGACAGATGTCTTTATCCCTAAATACTTAAAGAAAAAAACGAAAAATTTTCCCACTACCTCGCATCTAAACACGTCTCTCCAACCTAGCTTCACTCCCCAACAAGAATTCCCCTGCCACACCATTTAGAGCAGCCCACATGAGACCCGGCAACAGTGCACACTACCCAGGCTTTCCCGCTGTGTTCAGCAGCCTTGCGGGCTCACCACTGCCTTCTAAAAACACTGCCTCTTGGGGCTCCTGAGACGGAAGAGAGAGAGGTGCCCGCCCTTGTGCAGGGCCCGAGTTCAGTTCCTAGCATGCAGGCAGGAGGCTTTATGACTGCCTGTTACTCCAGCTCCAGGCGATCTTCGAACATCCACACTCACGCGTACATCCCCACACAGAGACACATACATGGAATTAAAAATAAATCTTAAAAAAATGTCACAAAATTTAAAAAAAGTATTTTAAGAATACTCAACTCTGCTTACACAAACCCATGTCTATTATGTTACCAGACCAGGAGCAGTCAGTGCTCCTGTCCAAAGGAATGCCGCTCTAATTTTCATCCCACATATTAATCTTCCATTTTATAGATTAGGAGCTGAGGTTCTACATGCAGTTCTGTTTGGACTTCTTTTGTTTCTATAGTCTTGATATGGAAAATCTAACCTCGTCTCTTCCAGGTAACTTCCCTTATCCCTATCTGGTAGTCTCGCCGGGGCCCTCTGCCCAGCCTCAGCATATTGCTGGCCCACTGTACCCTCCTGAAAGCAGGCAGTGTGGGGGCGGGGAGGCCTGGTTAACTGGATTATCTCTAGAGCACTGCTTAGTCCATAACCGGGGCTCAGTAAACATCTGCTGACAAGAGAATCAAATTACCAATCACACCCTGAACCTTGATCATTTATCAAGCCGTTTGCTCCTGTGACCAGATCATAAGCTCTGGCAGGGCAGGAATCGGGTCTCTTTCTTAAATATATAGAAAACTGCACGATTTAAAGGCCTCTCTTAGCAATATATTGAGGTTGGCTCAAAAAAACAAAAATAAATAAATTGATACATGTTTAAAAGTAAAAATAACGGGTTAGGCATTTCCGATGAAATGGGTATGCTCAAACAATTTTCTTTAAAGAGTGAATCAAGAGGCTGAGGAGACGGCTCTGAGGGTATTGCTCTGGGCACGCATGGGTTTGGATCCCCAGAACCCATGGAAAAGCTGGACTCTGTAGTGTGAGTCTCTGTAGTCCCAGCTCTCCTGCAGGGACATGGGAGGCAGAGAGAGGAGAGCCTCAGGAAGGTTTGGAGCCACCCACTGTGGTGTACACAGTGGCAATGAAGCCCTAGCTCCGATAAGGTGGATTTCCACCGGGGACAGCCCTCTGGCCGGCACACACTGGCATGCACAGGTAGGTCTACACTCACCCACGGAAAAATGAAGGAGGTGAGGTTTCAGGCCGTCATACATACAGCTATTAGAAGCCGATGATACCATCCTGCTTCTAAAAGTGTTGTCTTTCTAGCGCAAAGGAAAATGCTCTACCTTGGTTTTGTGAGGACTAAGTAATAAACAGCTTCCTTTAATCCAGTTCCCAAATAAAATACTTTAAATTCTGTCAAGTGATGGGGGGAAAGGTCCTTATGATGCCACAGGCTCAACTAGATTTCCCAAGTACAATGTCTACCAGAAGGAGACTGGTTTACTAAGAGCTAATGTCCACAGCTCTGTGTCTCCTTGCCATACCAAAGCCATGGTAGGCCTTTACCCCACGTCTTATCCCGCCCAGAACTGAATCTTTTCCACAGGACTCTGCAGACAAGGCCAATCTCAAGATCCAGCAGCTGTCCCCTGCTACTGAGCGCTGAACGGTCCAGATGAAATCATTCACCCCGTGCCATGCTGTCTGGATACTAATGGCATCCTGTAGACAGCGTGGCCCCTTGCTGAGACTCTAGAGGACAGAACAAGCCACTTGTTGTTGCCTTCGCTGAATGGAGCTGTTTCTTGAAAATGTTTCAATTGAGCCAGTCCCACCCCCTCTTAGAAGCTGTCAAACCACACCACTTCCCCTGGGGCTTCTAAGCTCCTTGCCAAGGGGCTGGCCCACAAGGAAGATGGAAGGACCTATCTGTAAAGCAGGGGCAGAGCGCTCACTGTAAGACAGAATCCTAAAGACAGGAGGACCATTATTAAAGCCATGGCTCACCCTTTCTCCAAGGACAATATGAAACAAGAGGAATACGCAGCCTACCGCCCGTGCAGTTCAGAGGTTTCCCTTTGCTCAGAGTAACCGAGTGGGAAACGCTGGGCTAATGCAAACTCATACCTGCGGGGTATCAAATTCCAAGGCACAACTAACCCTTCTCCAACCGAGCTTCACTGCATGCACAGGCTCTGCACACGGCTGGGGGTACAGAGTGGACAAAGTAGGGTTCTCGGCTGTTCACGGTCCTTAATACAATGGAGCAGACAGAACAGAATGCATCCTATTCAAGCCTCAAACAGCGTGCAATATGCTGGGGAGAGACTCTCCTTAAACCACATCCGACCAGAGGAGAAAGAACACGAAAGGGCGAAGAGACTGCCCAGTCCTTCCGTCCCCTGTGTGCCTGGCACTCTAAGATGCCACTGCGCTTTCCTCATGGGGGAGTCAGCAGCTGAGCACCTTGTCCTATCCCTTAACCCAGTAAGAGGCACAGCAGGTTTAAACACGATTGCAACAGAGTCCCAGACACAGGAGTCCAGTTTCTTACTGTATCTACTAAAGGCTGGACAAGCATTAGAAAAGGGGGCTCTAAAATAACAGCACACTGCATCCTCACACTGCTGGCCATCCCAGCACTCAGGCTGAGGAGACAGCAGCATCGCAAGTTCCAGGCTAGCCTAGGCTGCTTAGGGAACCTTGTCTCAAAAATAAACAAAGCCGGGCGTGGCGGCTCACGCCTTTAATCCCAGAACTCCAGAGGCAGAGGCAGGCGGATCTCTGTGAGTTTGAGGCCAGCCTGGTCTACAAGAGCTAGTTCCAGGACAGGCTCCAAAGCAACACAGAAAAACCATGTCTCAAAAATAAATAAACAAAGAAACCAACAAGTATTAAAGGGCAGTCTTATTTTTCCAACATTATAAAAATAGAAACGATCATTTAGAAAATAAGAGTAATTCAAATTTATAATTCTGTCACACGTAGACACACCCCCCCAAAAGTCAGACTGACTGTGACGCAGTTAGCATGCGCCATCTGAAACGTGAGGGCTCAGTGTACGCTTCACCTGTTCAGAGAATCAAATGAAGGCTGTCTTAGTTTGGTCCCCCACCCAACAAATGTATGTAACATTGTTATCTTCTCTCCATGGAGCTGGAGAGATGACTCAGTGGTTAAGAGCACTGGCTGTTCTTCCAGGAGACCTGAGTTCAATCCCCAGCACCCACAAGGCAGCTCACAACTCTCTTCAATTTCAGTCCCAAGGAATTGGCACCCTCTCCCAGACAAATATGCAGGCAAAACACCAATCAATGCCCATAAAATAAAAATGAACAAAATCTCTCAAAAATTTTCTGTCCATTTCTACTTGAAATATCTTACGTGTTTATGAGAGGTGTCTTTCATGAGCATGGTTTTAATTTGTCTTAGAAGAAAAGAAACAGGTTGTTTGAGAAACACTATTCTCTTGCAAAAGATCATATTTTGACCTAGACTCTAGATTCAAGAAGTGGGGAAAAAATACTATATATAACCCGAAATATATTTTTCCATTATAGACTGTCTATTTTATATTGTGATTTTCCTAAAGGAAGGAAGATTGGCTCCGAGATAGCACTTACAGTCTTATTCCATCCCTTTACTTCCTGTTGTAATTAAATCATCAAGTGAAGCAGGAAGAGACAAGGCTCCCTGCAAACAATGCCTCTTTGTCCCTGGCCCAGCACCCGGTGGTCTGGATGGCTAACAGCACCGGCCACACTAGTTAGACTCCCGCTTTCTCTGTGAGAGACGTGCAAAGAAGGATCTCTGATTGTGGTTTATGATGATTCTGTTCTACAGTTACAGGGACGAGGTGAAGAAAGTGTGTACCCCTCACTGAACACACACTAGATGGCTCAATCCTCCATACACTGGACCTGAAGGACATCAATACTGCAAATGCAGGAAGCCAAGGTCATCACTTGCTACCTACAGTCTGCTGCCTTTGGGAGCTGCAGCTGCCTGGGCTTCATTGTAGTGAAGGCAGACAAAGGGGACTCTCCATCTCCACAGCCTTCTTGAAAGGTCTCGAGGAAAAAGATCTGACAGTAAAACATTCTTCCCTTGTCTTTTCTTGAGGAGTAGCTCTTTATATTTTTCAAACTCTTGTCTGATTAGCAGTACAAACTTAAGGTTTGTGATAGCCCAACAGACCCAACACTGTGGACACCACTAGGCATACATTCTCCAAAATGGTCAGCAGTGTTCTCAGGAACAAAGGTTGAAAATCAGGAGGAACTGTGGGGGAGGAGTTTCTCCAGCAGCAATGCTTATAGATGCCAGGAAACTAGGAAGGGGCCAGGGGGGAGTAGCGCATCTTAAGGGGTGGGAGAACAGGCTTAAGTACTGGAGGGGTGGGCGATTGGGAAAATGAGAGCACGAGGGAGGGTAGCCGACATGAATAGTGTGTGAAACAGTAATATGGAAACTAACATTTTTATAAACCCATTAAAAGTGTAAGTTAAAATAAGAAAGAGTTGGAAAGGAGATACCGTTCCTAGCTAGAGAATTCTGCTCCTAGAAGTCATGGTTATGAAATAGGTATCACAGTATCACATGGAGAATCCTCTTGTGAGTTGTCCCAAGGGTCCCCCACATAATGCAGGTTCTTGCCATTCTTCCTGGTTATCCATGGGAACTAGATGACAAGACGCTATTGCTGAAGATACTATTCATCTTAATTGCAAAATATAAAGAATTAATGTCAGAACTGAGCAGAAAGCTGCGTCCCTGATGGCTAGCTTCCAGAATGCTAGAGAGTGCTCTAGCATAGGAGAGCTGAGGCTGGGAGAGAAAGGGCATCAACCTTGAACCCTATGAACTATAACAGTAACCATTCAGCAATATGTGCCCACTGCTACTCTAACGGCATGACCATCTTAGGGGCAACCAATGCTCTATGGTCGGATGTGAGCCTGTTCCACGAGAGGAAAATCAAGGTTCATACTATGAGTTCAATCAAAAACCTGTTACTGGGGAAAACAGACGCCATAAGAGGCAACATCCTACTGTTGTTTAACTAAACTTAACTGAGTCAAACTGCTTTCTAAACACACATGTTTATTCTCATAGACAAATGCTACCCTCAGCCGTTATCAGGGAAGCTTCTCTTTACAAGTAAACATTCATGAATACAGAGATGTTTTGTTGCTTGGGTAAGGGAGAGTTGAGTGCACAGCCCTAAATGGGACATTCGTAAAGCTCAGAAAATCCTGAGGGAGAAGCGATGGTGAGAATGTAAGAGCCAGTTGTAGGGATGGAGAAAAGCGACAAAATGGCTGTGTCCTAGACATGACACAGCCACTGTAATCATGTGCTCATGGCAGCTGTGGTTGCTTTCCCTGGGCTTGCACAAGGCTCAACCTGTCAACAATCGTGGATGGAAAGGGGGCTAATGGGGCACAGCCCGCCCCTGCTGAACTACTTACTGGTCACTGACTGCTTCTGGGTGAGAACCATTGGTCAGCCCACAGATCCAACCAGTAGTTCACAAATCTCAGGTGCAAAGAACACTCCTTACGCTGATCAAAACTGAGTGTTCAAAACCAGATAGACCACGTCATAAAGACCTGGTAAGTGCGTGGGAGATAAAAGATATTTAAGTTGATTCACACAGACCATAATGTGCACATTTTATAGTGCTCAATCAGTATGCTCAGCTCAGCTTTTATATTTCCAGGTGTAAGCTTAAAACAAATAAATAAAGAAATAAAGCAAAACAGAAAAGCCAGTAACTCACGACCAATCTACAGATATCCACTCCGAGCGTGCAGCAATTTGCTAGACATTTAAACAACTAATTGTGCATGAGAGTGTATGTGTTTTAAGGAAAGCACACTTGGGAGTCATTTACTTTTTACCTCTACCAGCACTCTTTTGTATCTTGCCAGCATCTGTATTTATCTTCGGAATTTCTTGTTTACATTATGCCTTTAAATGTTTTGCCTGTACATATGTATGCATACTGCAAACAAGTCTGGTGCTCACAGAGACCCAAAGAGTGTACTCTAAAGCCCTTGGAACTGGGCTCACAGATAGTTGTAAGTGACCATGTGGGTGCTGGAAAGTGAACCCAGGAACTCTGTAAGAATAGCAAGTGCTCTGACCACTGAACAATCTCTCCAAACCCGTTCTATTCATTTATTTCTCAGCTGTATTTGAGGGCAGAGAAGGGAAGAAAAGAATGACAGTCACTCCTTCTGTTCCAGAAGAGAGACTTCTGCCCCCCCCCTTTCTGGAATTCTCTCTTTCGCTAGTAAAGAGAGAATGACCAATATGAGTCATACTCATGAGTTTGTGGGTGACATAACTAAATATTCTGAGAACATGTCTGATTCAGAAAATGGGTAACTGTTCAATCCAAGGCAAATCAAAGGCAAGAGAGCAGAACAGATTCTACGGTCTTGGTATAAAAAGAGCAGGACGTTGCCTTGGAATATTTAAGAAACAAGTGATGGAGATTTCATAAATTATGGATGAGCCAGTCAGGAAGAGCTCTGCAGTGCTCTGGCGAAGCCTGAATGAAGAGCAAACTGAATAGAAGAGGACACAGGCAAAAGCAGCACTCTCTGCATCTCTAAGTACAGAGGGGGCACTTCCATGAATTTTCTGGGACATCTAAGCAAGTATTAACCCCCAAAGAGTTTAAGCTTTTCTTAAAGTTACACAAAATCCAGCATATTAATTCCATTTTTTAAAGAGGTTCCCTCACACAAAGGACACCGAGTTCTGCCTCTGCTACCCAAGGCCTTCTAGGGTTGAACAATGCCTTTCCTTACTCCTAGCCCTGGGTATGTCCCGTGTTCGATTCCAGAAGCACAACCCCAAGGACGCCCTCCTTTTGAAAGCAGCAGACATAAAAGGCAATGCTAGGAACTCTTGTGGGTTTTTCTACAGCCCTCGGGGAAGAATTGCGAGTCCATAGAGCAGGACTTCTCCGGCAAGAAAATACTTTAACATAAAAACTCAACTAGAGTTGGGGCTGTTATTCACTATGACCGGTTGATTCATTTTAACCTCTCTACATGGGGATGCTGACAGATGATCAGGTGATGGAAGGAAACAAGCAAGGACCAGAGAGGACCCAGACTTAGGGAACCCCTTTTCCTCCCTTGCTCTGTTCCCTGATCCAACATAGTACTTGGTCTATGACTGTTCATGTGGGAGTGGACCGCACACTAAGTGTGGGTGAATCTGCAGGTGCACAGAGAATGCCTGATCTGCTTTCAGAGATTGACTGGAAAGCGGAATCAAAAAAAGTTTTCCTAGGCCAGGTATAACTCCGAGAACCCTTGTGCTCTGTCTGCCTGGAGACAGGTGATTCAAGATTCACTTCAAATTCAGTCCCAAAAGAAAGCAGCATTTGCTTAGAGTTTCTACCATTTAATTATTCGTCCCAAAAGGGGTGAGCCATTTTTTCAAGGCTCCAAAGTGCAGCAACTACAAGGTGTTCGTGTAAAATGTTAAGCGGCCACGTCGTAGCTTTTGGTATTAGAAGCAGCTTCTCTAGGGCTGCAGAAAGACAAACGGAGGTTGACGTAAAGTTCCAGACTATTCCAAATGAACTTGCCGGAATGAATAAGAAAAAAACTTTATCCTAATGTTTTTGTTTATCCAAATGCCAGTATTTAAATAAAATGCATTTTTAATGAAAACGACGCATCCATCAGGACGTACAGGGCCCAAATTGCAACATCCCACCCTAGAGATCCTCAGGAGATCATATCTGCTAAAAGCACCTGGATGCTGTGCTCAGCGCACAGGAGGTATACAACAACAGAGATAAATACCAGCCGCTGTCTGTGTAGAGGAGGAGCAGGTGAGTGAAGAAGAGGGAGGTCGGGGAGCTCTGAGCCTTCGCCCTATGTGCACTTACTGGGTCTCAGCCCCGAGCAGCATGTCCACCTTCTCATTGGCATGGTTGCTGAGGACCGTCAGAGTGAAGAGGTGCGTGGCTGAGCTCTGTCTTGAGTAAAGCATTGTGGAGGTAGTCTTCCCTGGGGAAGAATTAAGCTCCTCGTTGTCACAGGATTCCACCAGCAGCTGATCCCTTAAGGAATAATCAGTGACGTTGTAACTCTCTTCACTAAAAGACGGGGAGAGAACATGTCAATCAGCAGCAATGACTGTGACACTGTCACACTTCATTCACATCACATGTTTTTTTTTTTTTTGAGAATTGGGCATCCAGAGGAAGCATGAGAGGAATGACCTGTCTCATAACATGAGCTGGTATCTGAAGTTTACCTATTGATTACCAATCATGAGAAGCACCAATACTCTATAATATGTAGCACACATAAAGTACATCTCAGATAAAAGAGATTTTTGAAAACACAGATCATGTCTTACACGGGCTTAAAAAAATCAACCTAAATCCAAGTTGGGTGCTTCTTGAGTACAAACTCTGAGAAATTTCTACCGAAGATCCAAGCATCTAGCAGGCAACACCATGGGACTTGCGTTCCCACTTTAGGAAGAATAAACAAAGGTTAGATCTCGGAAAAGATGAAGCATTGAATAAATTAACCCAATACAGAGCCTCCTAGGCTACATTCGCCACAGTTCTCTAATTGTTATAATCAGTGAGACTTGCATGCAGTAGAGTTCATGAATGGGCCTCTCCCCAGCTTTTACACCCACCTTCAGCACAGAATGAAGAGGGGACTGTAAAACCCTGCCCACACGCAGGTAGCCCAGCTTTCACCCCTTACCCCCAAATGACCACAGCAGAGGATGGAAGTAGAAATCCAGAGGTCTGCTTGCTCTGGCAAATGCCCACCCAGTCCATCTTCTCTCACATTACAGACTCCCGTTTTAGAAGCCACCAGCCTCAATCATGTTGTATGTCCATCCTTGCTTATCCACCCTCAGACTGTGAGCAAGGCTAATAATTTCCTCCCAGGACAGCTTGTTCCTGAATGCTTCCCACTGTGCCCTCCTGGAGTGCCCTTCCTCAGGGAGTTCAACAGAGTCTGAGGTCTCGGCTTCTGAACCTTTCCTCTACCTTCTAATCAATTAGCTTCTTCTAACAGAATCTTGGTCTCTCTAGGGGATGCCATAACCCCCGCTGTCTCTGCTCACTTCTAGAAAATAATCACTTCTGGCTCCCAGGAAGGACTAGACTTTGGAGTTCACACTATTAGTCTCTGTCCTAATCACAAACGTCTACATACTTCGGGGTCTCCCAATCCTCCCTTATGACTCCCAAACTTATTGTCTGTCTCCAGCCTTACTTCGTTCTTTGCAATCCATGATCAGCTCCTTGAGATCTGTCAGTTCTTTGACTTCCTCAGTGGCTTTGGGCCTGCTACCTCAGCCACCTCAGTCACCTCAGCCATGCTTTATCATTGCATCAAACACAGTCTCTCATCCATTTCCGTATCAGCCAAGACATACCATGATCTACCTGGCACACCGAATCTTACTGGCTCACCATATCCTCATGCCCCAAACTTATTTTCACCTGGCAGTTCCTGCTCACTGACTCTATGACCTTTTCCTCTGTTGGTTGATTAATTCCTCGTGTCCCCTCAGTCATGCATATCAAATTACCTAGCCTGGAGTCCCTGTGCCCAGCTAAAATCATTTCTTGTACACAAGCTCATCTTCCTCGGCTGAAATTGCCTGGGAAATTCCAAATACAGCCCTCCGCTCTTTTCCATCCTTGCAGATAAACCTCAACTGAACTGCTCCAAATGACCCTACAATAAATTCTAACATACTCTAAAAACAATGATTATCTCATGTAATAGCAAATATAAGTATATGAACTGAGAAGAGCTGAAAGAAAACACCCCCTGTGTCTAAATATACTCGGGCTTTTAGAACAAAACATCTTGTTCAAAGTTCTGAGGCCTGCTTTATTCAGTAGTAAACATTCTGCCTTGTAAACGTCCTTGGAAAATTTCACAGTCTTTTTTTTTTTTTTTTTTTGAAGTTTAGTTTGATGGATTCTCCACTCAAACGACAGCACATACAGGTTTCACCTCTAAAAACAGAACACACCCCTGACCAGATCTGTTGTTAGGGTCACGTCTGTATTTACTGGAAGTTCCCAAAGATGTCCTGGGGCTGCCACACCCAGGAATATAAAGAAGTTCTCACATCTACAATAAGACCTATAATAGTGCACACTGTGCTCAAAGGAAGAAGGCAGGACAGAACACCTTACAATCAAACATGGCTGTATCTTTAAAAGATCTTGTTTACTAGAAACAAAGAAGTCAATTGTTTGCAGCACAGAAAATGTTTACAGTGTCAGGACATCTCAGACATAAATCTAACGGCCCAGGAGTCAGGATGTGTACACACACACACACACACACACACACACACACACACACACAAGCACGCATGCATGTGCAAACAAAGAGAGATAAAAGTGGCAGAGGGATAGAGAGGGACCCCTCTAAGACAAAATAAATAAATAAATTAAAATAAAAGCAACATCTCAACAACACTAACAAAAACCACATAGTAAAGGATTGTAAGCTCCTGCACCTACGTCGGAAGGTTTTGTTTGTTAGGTTGGCCCTGACAGAACTCAAGGACGGAGTTCCAGGAGACAAATGAAAGCTACAAGGCTTAGTTTTTACTCTTCTTCTTTTTCAGAATTCATATTCCTTGCTATTCTCTTTTTCCTATCTACTACCCTCTCTTTGATCCAAATCAAAAGCTACAAAAGATTATCACTCAGTAGCAGGCCATTTGTTCCCAATGAACAGTCATTGTCTGGACAGAGAGATTGAAGAAACTGATATTGTAGAAGTGGGATGGCCAAGTAGGCCCCGAATAATGAGAGTTGCATTGATACTGATGTTATATCCAAAGAAGCAAAAGTCAGGAGAATATGCACATGACAGTGTCCTCATTTAAGACGAACTCAGCTCCTGCACCTTCAGCTTCGGCCACTTTTGCTCATTAGGTTGTTCCTGGTAGAAAAGGAAGGACTGAGTTTCCATGGGACAAACGTAAGCTATAATGTTTAGTCTTTGCTCCTCTTCATTTTCAGAATTCATACCTTTCAGGGTTTACCAAAATTAAAAAAAAAACCCAGCTATCAAGTTTCAAAACTGCTTTGAATTTTTTGAAAAGCATTTATTCTAAAAAGAACAATAAGCTTTGGTATTTCAAGAGCCAATAACCACCCATCACTAGTAAGTTAGACATCTTTCCCAGGGATCCGAAGTACAAAAGCACAGACCCATTGGCTCGAGGTAAGAAAGAGGCAGTGTGCAAACCAGTGGAAGACAAGGAAACCATCCCCTTCCCCAGAAAGGGTGGCCATAGAACTGTTGGTGAAGTTTTATTTTTTAACAATCATTAAAGCCAGAAACAGATACATTTTTAAAATGTGCATTAAGTTTTCCTTTAAGCAACAAGTACAGTGCCAGTGATTACTAGCTATGGTAGTTGTTTGAACCAGTTTAGACCAGTTAGCCCTTCAATTGTCTACTTTGGATGTTAAAACGGTGGTCATCCTATTCATAGCTATGGAACTTCACCTCCGGTGTTAATTCAAACTGTGTCAGGATGGAGAACTTAGCTTGATCCAAAGCAGTCTCCAAGAAAGATGTTTTCTGTCTTTTAAGCACTTTTCGGTCACCTATCCAAAACCCACTATTATTTAGGTAGCAAACTTCTGCATCAGGGCCTAACACTTTTTAAAAGTGGGTTTCTATGAAAAAAGACCCGGCATCATGCAACAGTAGGAAGTTGAATTGGTTATTTACCCTGATTAGCTACTTTCAAATCCAGTGAAACAAAAACTGACGAGCGGCTGGCTCCCTCTTGGAAGATACTTCTGGTGTGTTCTCTCACAGACTCTCATACAGATATTTAACCTCCCAAAGGCTCACAATAATGGCCATTATCCCCCTGCCTCTGAGTCTGCTGCCTATTGCACGAAACTCATTCTTATGTCAGTCAGCACGTACAATTTCTCTCCAGTTCAGGACAGCTGATTACAGGGTGTGCTGGACAAGGAAGAAGGGAGCCTACCACACAGGCACTTCTGCTCGCGCAGGTCCCCGAAGGCTGAATCAAATGGGATAGAAACATTGCCTTTCCCCGGGGAGGTTGACTCTAATCAGACTTCCTCATGTTTGTCTCCACCATTTAGCAAACACATGGTTGACACCGTTTCTGAAACAACTTGGATCGTGTAATTAGGAAGTTGAATTGCTCACAGAAAAAGGCAAATGGAAAATCCTTTTCCTTTCCTTGCCTGAACGAGCTTACAGGGAGACTTCCTTCCATTGTGCCACAGGCACTCTGCTCTTGCAGCTGCTCAGGCTGCTGGCTCTGTGCAAGCCATCTCAGCTCAGGGGCAGGGACCCGATCAAGTCCACAGAGTCCGCTGCTCTGCATCTTCAGTGATGATGTGCCTCCCTGTTAAACCCACCTGAAGGCCCAGTAAATCCTGCCCACACTCTTCTTCTTTAAATTATCATCTTAAATAAAAGAAATAAATATCCACAGAGAGCAGGCTATGAAGCTAATCACGCATCCGGTTGTTTTCCCTTCTGGAAGGAATTCTGCGCTAAGACGTTCAGACAACGTCTGAATGCATGCCACACATCGCTGTGGTGTTGAGACAGGAGCCTGATTGTAAAGAGGTCCTTTTAGCTTTTTTGTGGTGCTGGGATGGATCCCGGGACCCTGCACAGGCTGGATCGGCACTGAACCAATGAGCTCCATCGTTGGCCCTCCCTTTATTAGTCGAATAATTATGGAGCACTTTAACTTCCTGTCCCATAGTTTCTGCAAAGGTTGGAACACTGCTCATAGTGGAAAATTATTTGTTATTTATTTATTTGGATATTATTTCCTTTAGACCGGAAAGACATTTAAACACCACATATAACAAGTTTGTGTTTAAAATACACAAATGACATAGTACATGAACATCTGCAGCACTGAACACAGAAATAAGCACCCATTTCAGCCCAGATGAGGACAAAGGGACCTTGATTTACGGTTTTGTTCAACTTGGGAAGAAGAAAGTGTATACCATTAAGAATTGACGCAAGCTGGGACAATGAATGTGTTAGTGTGCCATGACTTTCTGCACAATTGACCTAT